TCAGGAAGTGGCCCAGGAGGATTCCAAGTGCTCACATATGCCCTTTCCTATGCAGGATCACAAAATGTCAGGAAGATACAAAATGAGAAAAGGAAATGCAGATACAAATTCAGAGAAAAACAGTTAACTGAAAATGAAAGACAGTAATATTAAAGGTGCACCTCCTGGCCTATGGTGTAGACCATACTGCTTCTGTCATTCATAGGATCAAGCCTAGGATCAAGTCTTGTTGGCATAATATCCTGTAGTCAGAAAACAATTCATGTTAGTAACATAAATGAACTTAAATGCAGTTAACTGAAATCACTGTTCAAAGTCCAAATTCAGAGAAAAACAGTTAACTGAAATCACTGATTTAACCTGCAGAATTGAAGGATCTTCTACTTCTTCATCATCTTCTAATTGAGCTTCCTGTTGCCTCATAAACTTGGCATGTCCTCTCTTGTTGTGGTCAGCACTGCCACACACTGAGCAATGCATGGCCACTCCTTTTTTGTTGATGTAAACAGTTCCATCTTTCTTCTTCTTCTCTTCTGGTGTCTTTCTCCTGTTCTTTGCTGGCCTGCCCATTTTCTTTGTGAAGACTGGAGGGTGGATGGGAATGCCATTCATCTTTTCCCAGCTTTTCCTGTCCCATATAGGCATGATGTTGTGCCCATATGCCTTTAGATAATTTTCTATGCTATAGCACTTGTGAACCAATGTTTCAGGGTCAATCCTGTCAGCTCTACAACAAGCAATCACATGATTGCAAGGGATGCCATCCAATTGAATTTTTTTGCAATCACAAGTTCTTGCTGGAATATCCACAACATACTTGTTGTTGCCTGATTCAACACCATAAATTCCAAGTCCTGAATGTGTTGGAAAGCAGTTACCTGAGTACTCTGCATTTTTGTCCAGTTTCTTCCTAATCTTGGGGCAGATAAGTCCAGTCCACTTTTCTGAAGCTTCTTTGTACTTTTTGTCATGCCTCACAGTAATTTTATGTGTTATGCATTCTAGCATTGATATAACACACAATTCTCTTGCATCCAAGATGTAGCTGCAAGAGATATATAGTAAAGTTTTGTCAGAACTAACTGAAGTTTTATGTGTTAAACATAACATAACTTGTTTGCTAGAAAAGTGAACTAACTGAAGTTTACCTGTTGTACACCTCTGACATGTTGTTCAGCAAAATGTCACACTTGGGGAAATCTCTGAAGTATGCTTTCACCCACTGGTTGGGGGGCTTGCCATCCAACCAATTATATGCCTCCAAGTTCTGTGCCCTAAGCTTCTCTCTGTTCAAGGTCCACTTGTCCACATTAGTTGACCTAGCAATGGCCCACAACATATTCTTCAGTGTTTCTCCTTTGAACTTCTGGTGGAAGTTTTGATAAAGATGTCTAACACAGAATCTGTGTTCTGCATCTGGCCATATCTTCTCAACAGCATTGATCAAACCCTGCAAAATTAGTTCATAAACATGTAAGACAACAGCACCACACGGAAATATGCAACAGCAGCATGTTTGGACAAATGGAACACACCTTTTGCTTGTCACTCATTATAGTGAAAGGGGAGGTGTTAATGATGTTTAAATCATTCTTCAAAGTGGTGAGAAACCATTCCCAAGAGTAAGTTGACTCCACCTCCACCATCCCCATTGCAATTGGAAATATGCAATCATTGGGATCAATCCCAACAGCTGTAAGCAACACACCCTTGTATTTGCTCTTCAGGTGACAACCATCAACAAATAGAATTGGCCTGCACCCCCTCAGGAAACCTCTCTTGCAGGCATCATAGGACCAATATAGTGAAGATAGGTGATCTTTTGGAAGCAGATCACCTATTTCCTTCACTTTGGTTGTGCAAACAATGAATTTGCTCCCTGGATTACTTCTCCTCAGTTCTTGTCCATAGTCCCACAACAGGCTGTATTGTGCTTTCTCATCATCATGTATGATCTTAAGTGCAGCACTCCTGGCCCTGCCAAGCTTCATTCTCACTGGATTAAGCTTGAACTTTTGCTGAACTTTTCTTCCAAATGTACCCAAGTCCATGCTCTTGTTGTCTCTGAACTCATCCATAAATATCTCAGTCAGGTACTTCACTGTCAAGCACTTGGAATCCCATGTTTTCTGACAGGTGTGCTCTCCATTGTACTCTCTGATGACAATGCTTCCTGTTCTATTGTCTCTAGATGCTTTCAACCTCCAAGGGCAATCAGGTTGACACACACCAATGAATCTCTCTGCCTCATTTCTAGCTTTGATGATTTTCACTCTGTTTTTGACTGTGTATGCAGTGACTGCTTCCCTTAGCTCTTTCATATCTCCAAATACTTGCCCAACCCTAAAGATTGGGTTGCTCATGTCCATTTCTGCATTGAATGTTCTGAATGTATATTTCAACTTCTCCAACTCATCTTTTGACAGGTTGAGCTCATCATCATCTAGTGGATCTTCCTCCTCAAATATCTCTTCCTCTTCTTCATTGTTGTCATTCAATGATTTGTCCACATTCTGAGCAAACAAATCATCATCTCCATCTTCACAATCATAGTCACTCTCATAAAAGTCTGAGTCAGTTTCATTCAACTCTCCTTCTCCATCATTGTTTTCAACTGCATTATCTGCATTGTCTGCATCTGCATCATGATCTGACTCTGCATCCTCTCCTTCCATTGCATTCTCTGCATCATGATCTGCCACTGCATCCTCTCCTTCCTCTGCATTCTCTGCATCATGATCTGCATCCTCTCCTTGTTCTTCATCCTCATTTCCATCTGCAGTTGGGCATCCCTTAAGTATGATTTCAGGATATAATGTCTGAATCTTGTTCTCCTCATCAACTAACAAATCCAATGTCTTGGCTTCTCTGCTGGACCTCACCATAGCAGCTATAACATCTGGATTGTCCACACATAGCAGGCCATCACCATAGTCTTATCTGGCAAAATCCAGTACACCTTGATTTGAGGGTCTGTAGGGTCATAGTCCATCCTTGACAAGCAATACTTGATCATCCCCAGTGACCATGTGTCTGAATGACAGTAGTCAAAAGCTTCATGACTGCACCCAATGTAAGAGAACTTCAATTCTCCACCTATGCATTCCCCCAAGAAAATTCCATTGTGCTCAAACTCCACTGAGAAAAACTGGCTAGCTTCTCCATTTGTCACTGCAACAATTGACAGATGATATATTCAGTGCAACTCAATCTTAGTTTCAGTGATCAAACTCTAACTGAATCTGTACATGATTTTCAAACACAACTATGTACTGAATATCAACTAAAAGACAACCCTTTCATCACAAATCAATGGTAAAAATGCTGACTTTCATCTAAAAAAAGCCATGTACTTTTGCATAACAGGGAAAGTCAGCATTTTTACACTGAAATATGAACTAAAATATCACATTGTACACTGCATCTACAATTCAGTGCAACAATAGCATATAATCTCTGAATATGTAAACAATAAAATCACATCAAAAGACCCCCTCAAGGACCCCCCTTTCCTGTATGCTACCCAAAACCCTAGATCAAATCCCCTCACATTGCCCTTGATTGACCCCCCCCCCCAATTCCTCAAATCAGCATCAAGAAACCCTAGACAAGCTCATGG